TCTCTCTCTCTCTCTCTCTCTCTCTCTCTCTCTCTCTCTCTCTCTCTCTCTCTCTCAGGCTAGAACACTGGACCTTGCAAATGGGACATACTTTATTTAGGTATACTTCTAACCTGCTAGGGATTGAGCCCAGGAACTCCCATGCTAGGCAAGTACTTTACCACAGAACTGTGTTCTTAGCCCTCCAAACTGTCCAACATCTATTTTTGTTAGGACTGATATTCTTATTTTTATTACTTCTCAACTCTATCATATATTAGGTATTGCTTATTTTTGTTTTCCCTGTTTTTGTATATTTGGATGTTTACTTCCATTAATGGTTGTCCTTTTGCCCTCTGTGCTGGATAGCTTTAGTGTCAACTTGACACACCTGGGTTGAGCGAGCCTCAGTTGGGGGATTGCCTCTATTGGACTGGCCTGTGGCCATGTCTGAGGGGCATCTTCTTGATGAGTGATGTAGGAGGGCCCAGCCCACTGTGGGTGGTGCCACCTCTGGACAGGTAGGCCTGTGTTGCATAAGAAAGCAGGCTGAGCAGGGGTGGCACCACCCACAGTGGGCTGGGCCCTCCTACATCACTCATCAAGAAGATGCCAAAGTCATCAAGGGAGCAAGCCAGTAAGCAGTGTTCCTCCATGGCCTGTGCTCCAGCTCCTGCTTCCCGGTTCCTGCCCTGAGTTCCTACCTTGGGCTCCCTAATGAACTGCGACCTGGGAGATGTAAGCTGAATAAACCCTTTCCTCCCTAAGTTGGTATTGGTCAGAGTATTTTGTCAAAGCAATGAAGAGAACAAACTAAGACACCCTCCTTCTTCCTGTTCTTATAAGCATATAGTGTTAATACAGTGTTACTGATTGAAAGCAAAATCTACTCTTTGTTTGAGACAGTCACTATGTAGCCCAAGCTGGCCTTGAAGTCAAGGTCTTCCTGCCCCAGTCTCCCAAATTCTGGGATTACAGGCACGGGCCACCACACCAGGATGCTATTCTTCAGTTCTTTTCTACCTAGGAAATCAAAGCCTTTGGAACACTGTTTACCTCTTGCTTTTCCTCTTCTCTCTCTCTCTCTTTTTCAAATATTTTATTTATTAATTTTATTTTATGTGTATGTGTGTATTGCCTGCATGTAGGTAAGTGCACCCATGTAGTGCAGTGCCCATGGAAGACAGAAGAGGCTGTTGGATCCCCTGGAACTGGAGTTATGGACAGTTGTTAGCTGCCATGTGGGTACTGGGATTCGAACCCAGGTCTTCTGCAAGAACAGCCAGTGTTCTTATCCACTGAGCCATCTCTCCAGCCCCTGTCTCTTTAAAGTCTTTGAAATGTTTTTTGTTCCTTTCCTCCTCTTCTCAGCACCTACATTTTTCCAATATAGTTAAGGAATTACAAATAATGTCTCTTATATAGCATGTTCCTTTTTAAAAATACTTTGGTTGCAGGGCATGGTGGTGCACGCCTTTGATCCTAGCACTTGGGAGGCAGAGGCAGGCAGATCTCTGTAAGTTCAATGCTAGGCTGCTCTACATAGTGAGTTCCAGGTCAGCTGGGACTACAGGGAGCCCTGTCTCAAAAAGACAAAAAGAAAAAAAAAGAAAAAAAACAATTTCTGTCTTCCTTCCTTCATTCCATTTTTTGAGACAGGGTCTCATTATGTAACCCTTGCTTGCCTGGAACTCACTGTGTAGACCAAGCTGGCCTCGAACTCAACAGAAATCTGCCTACCTCTGCCTCCCAAGTGCTGGGATTAAAGTTATGTGCCACCATTCCTGGCTGATAAAATTGTACTAGAAATTAACTTTGGGGTCAGAGACATGCTTTTATGATGACATTTTATACAACAAATAGTAGAGAGTTAAGAAAGGAAAGCAGTGAAACGAATAGAAACAATTCTATGTGGTCAGAGATCTTACAAAGATTGTTTGGCTCTTGTGAATGGATTTAGGCACCATTACCCTAGTCTGCTGTGGTCCATGGAAACTGTACTAATATAGAACCTAAGGTGAATTTTGCCTGTGTTCTTGCTTCATTGCTAATGTTTGTTTACCTGCTTTATTTTTACAGGGATGTGCATGCAGTCTGTCTCTGGGATGATAAAGGTTCATCAAAAATTCATCAGGCTTTAAAAGAAGATATCCTTGAGTTTATTAAGCAAGCACAGGCAGTAAGTTGTGTATATTTGCAGTTTTATTTTAGTTTGTTCTGTTGTTGCTAGGCATCAGTTCCAGAGACTCACTTGCATTCTAATAAGCATGTTCATTATCACTGAGATACACCCTCTTCCTTAGATTGCTTTTAAAACTACATATCTGACACCAGGCTGGGATGTACATGCCTTTAATCCTACTACTCAGGAGGCAGAGGCAAGTGGGTCATTATGTGTTTGAGGCCAGCCTGATCTGTAAAGTATCTGACTGGAAAGATAGTCCAGTCAGTAAAGTGTTGCCTTGTAAGCAAAGGACATGAGCTTGTTCCCAAAACTCATGCTTAAAAAAAGCTAAGTGTGAGCCAACAAGATGGTTTGGTGCATTAAGGTACTTGCCCCCAAGCCTGATTATCTGAGTTTGATCCCTGGTTACCCACATGGTGAAAGGAGAAAGATTATCTTCTAATCTCCAAATATATGCTGTGGCATGCAGCACCCCCCACACATACACCCCAACACACATAAAATAAATATTTATTTAAATATAATATACTTTTTAAAAAAGCTGATTGTGATGATGTGTGCTTGTGATCTCAGCATTGGGGAAGTGGAGTTTTTATTATTGTGTATGTGTGTATATGATGAATGTATGTAGGTGTGGGCATGCATGCATGATCCACAGTGTTCGTGTGGGGGTCAGTGGGCAGCTTTGTGGAGTTGGTTCTCTCCTTCCACCTCTATGTGGGTTTTGGGGATCAAACTGAGGTTGTCAGCGTGTGTGACTAGCACCTTTATCCTTGGAGCTATCTTACCGACCCCAGTAACTTAAATTTTGAAAAATTTTTAAAATTTTACATGTATGAGTACCTGCGTGTATGTAAGTGTACCACATGTGTGCAATGCCAGGCAGAGGCCAGAAGAGGGTGTTGGATCCCTGGAACTAGAATTATTGGCAGCTAGTGAGTGCTGGGAACCTGGGTCTTCTGCAAGAACAGCCAATGCTCTTAATCACTCCTCTTCCTCCCAATTATTAGATTTTTTTATTAGTGTGTGTGTGGTGGGGGGGGGATTACTTGTGCCATAATGGATGAGTGGAGGTCAGAGAACAATTTGTGGAGTAGATTCCTTGTCTTCCACCTTTATGTGGGTTCCAGGAGTCAAATTCAGATCGCCAGGTTTGCACATCGAGTGCCTTTACCTGCTGAACCATCTCTGACCCCACAGTAACTTTTTTTTTATTTTTTGAGACAACGTCTCCCTGTAGCCCCAGCTGGAGTTCACTATGTAAACCAGACTAGCCTTGATCTTACAGAGGTCCGCCTGCTTCTTCTACTTCTTGAGTGCTGGAACTGACGATGTGTGCCACCACACCTGGCCTCCCACAATAGCTTTTGACACATGTTAGATTTTTAAATGAAGTAATTGTCATTAGCTTACCTACCCCATATTTCTGTTAGCAGTACATTATTATTTTCACTTAAACGATGCTATAAGGGAAAGCTGGAGAGGTGGGTCAGCAATTAAGAGCACTTGCTACAGTTGCAAGCACCTAGGTTCAGTTCCCAGAACCCATATGGCAGCTCATAGCCATCTGTAACTCCAGATCCAGGGGATCCACATCCTCTTGGGCCTCCACAGACACTGTATGAGTGTGATGCACTTGCATACATGCAGGCAAAATACTCATACGTATAAAATAAAAATAAAGCTTAAAAGCATGTACTGCTCTTGCAGAGGACTCAAGTTCACTTCCTAGCACCCACATCAGGTGGCTTGTAACTGCCTATAACTCCAGTTCCAGGGGATCTGATTCCCTCTTCTGGCCTCCAGGGCATTGTATGTGTGTGGTGCATTTACGTTATGTGCAGACAAAACGTTCGCACACCTAAAATAAAAATGAATGGAAAAATATTTTAACCAGGGGATCTGATTCCCTCTTCTGGCAGACAAAACGTTCGCACACCTAAAATAAAAATGAATGGAAAAATATTTTAAAGATGCTGTAAGTGACTCATATGTAGCTCAGTCGGTGGCATGTTTTCCTAGCATGGAAGAGACCCTGGATTCAGTCCCCAGCCCCACACAGACCAGGTTGGTGGCACATGGGAAGTAGAGTTAAGAGATCACCATTTGCCATGAGTTCAAGAGTTGGAGACCAGCTTTGGAATGTGTAACATGTTTGAAATGAGCCTGTACTACACGAGAGCCTGTCTCAGAAAAATAAAACAAAAACTTTTAGCAGAACCGATGTTTTACAAATTGTAATGTCACGGTGGGAGATAAAATTCACAGGCGGGTTCTAAGGTGAATAATAGGATTTGCTGGCTAGACAAAAATGACTTAAGGAATTCAGTTTTATATATATATATGTTTCCACATCTATTTTTCTACAACCTTTTCTCAAGTTTGTGATAACTCCCTTCGATTCCATATACCTCTGGTATAAAATCCCAGGGTCACACTTAGTGTTGCTGCTGCTGAGCTGGGGTTAGTGCTCCTGTTTCAATATTCTGCTTAAGTTTTTAGTCTTACTGAGATGAAGACAAAGTTTATTTGGACATTTTGTTATTTATACAAGCATTAATTTTGTTTAGTTTTTATTTATAATTTTGTGTTTTGGAAAAAAAGTGCAAAGGTTATGTATTATTTTGAAATAGCCATGGCATAACTAACAAATGGATTCCTTACCACTTTGAGAAGATGCCTAACAGCATGAGATATTTCCCTTCATATAAAATGAAATCTAAAAATTGGAGGACCAGAATCTCTTATTCTTGTTAGTTCTTTAGTTTTTTTGGTTTTTTTGTTTGTTTTTTTGTTTTTGTCTTTTTTGAGACAGGGTCTCCCTGTAGCCCCAGCTGTCCTGGAACTTGCTATGTAGACCAGGCTGGCCTTGAACTCACAGAGATCCACCTGCCTCTGCCTCCCGAGTTCTGGGTTAAAGGCGTGTGCCACCACGCCCAGCTAATTCTTTAGTTTCTAAGATTTATTTTTTATTTTTAATTATGTGTATGTATGTTGGGTCAGTGTGTGGGTGTGTACACATGAGTACAAGTGCCTAAGGAAGTCAGAAGGTGTTAAATCCCATGGAACTGGAGTGATAGATGATTGTGAACTACCATGCAGGTGCTGGAACGAAACCTGGGTCCTCTGGAGGAAGAGGAAGTGCTCCTAACCTCTGAACCATCTCCTCAGGCCCCCCACCCCCAAGGATTTTTAAACTCTAAAGAAAATCTTGCTGTGTGAATCCAAGTGTTAGGTAGCATCGACTTGAATTTTCATCTTGTTTGGAAGGACCAAATCTTCCATTTGGAAAAGGCAATGTTTATTTTAATATCATTCAATAAGAAAAGAGCCGAGTTGTAGTCAGTGGTAGGATTTGTACCTAGCATAGATGTACAAGGCTATAGGTTTAAGCCCTACCACCAAGAATGAATGAATGAATGAATGAGTGAGTGAGTGAGTGAGTGAGTGAATGAGAATGAATGAATGACAAAAAGAGAAATCAAAATAAGTGTACATTAGTCCCATCACTTGAGAAACTGAGCCAAAGAGTTTGAGATCAATCTAGGCAATAAACTGAGATGCCCGCCTCAAAAAATAAACAAAAAGCCAAAAGGAAAAAAGCAAGACTGTGCAGGACTTGAGAAATTACTAGGAAATTAGATTCTTTTCATTTAATTTTTTTTACATTCTTTGTGTGTGTGTGTGTGTGTGTGTGTGTGTGTGTGTGCACGTGTGCACGTGTGCACGTGCGCGCACACGCTTGCACACCACGGCATGTGTTCACTTGCCTCAGCATGTGTGTGGGGGTCAGAGGATATCATGCCAGATTCAGTTCTTTGCCTGTACCATGTAGGTAGGTCCCAGTGATGGAACTCAGGTTGTCAGGCTGGACAACAAGTGCCTCTACCCACTAAGCCATCTCCCCAGCCTGATTTTATTTTATTTTAAAGAGTGCCGAACCATTTTGTTCTACTTACTTTTTTTTTTCCAGTTCTGGGCTTTCAACCCATGGTTTCATACATATCAGGTCACTCTACAACTGGGCTACCCTGCCACCCCAACATAATTGTATTATTTGTTCATAATTGTGTGGTTTAGTAATATGGTCTGGCTTCAACTAATTTCACCCAAGCTTATTAATACATTAGTAGATTGCTGTTGGCTCTGCAAAGGCCAGATAGTCCAAAAGAAGGTAATTAAAAACCTATTATTGGGGCCAAGTATGGTGGTGCTTGCATTTAATCCCAGCACTTGGGAGGCAGAAGCAGGCAAATTTCTGTGAGTTTAAGACTAGTGTGGTCTACATAGTGAGTTCTAGGTCAGCTGGGGCTACAGAGAGACCCTGTCTCAAAAAGACCAAAAAATAAATAAAAAAATACCCCTATTATTGGATGCTGGCTTTCTTTTTCAACTACATGATTCCTAATTCCCAATGAAAATAGCCTTTAAGGTAATACTGGAATCTGCAAAACCTCATCAGGTCTACACTTGGAAATCCCACATCACAAATACAACATTCCTTTGGTCAAAGCACATTACAGAACTAGCACAAATGTCAGCAGTTGGGAAATAAGCACTACCCCTTTTTAGAATTGAGATCTGTTGTCTAGCATGTGTTAGACCCAGAATATGATCTCATCACCAGCTCCAGCTTCCACAGAGAGATAATTCACGTCATAAGTTCACTCTCTTAAAGTATATGATTCAGTGAGGTTTAGTATATTCATAGGGCATAACCATCAACTGTTAATTCCAGATTTTCAGCACCCTGTAAAGAACTACTATACCTGTTAACTGCCAGCTATATCCTGTATTGCTCTCCTGGTCACCATTAAACCACTAATCTATTTTCTGGCTCTCTGAATTTGTCTAGTCAGGGTATTTCCTAGAAATGAGATCATAAGCCAGGTGTAGTGGCACATGCCTTTAATCCCAGCACTTGGGAGGCAGAGGCCGGGGGAATCTCTGTGAGTTCAAGGCCAGCCTGGTCTACATAGTGAGTTCCAGGCCAGCTGGGGCTACAAGGAGACCCTGTCTCAAAAGAGACCCCTCCCCCCAAAAAATGGGATCATTAAAAATGTGACCTTTTATGACTAGTTTCTTTCACTCTGAATAATGTCTTCAAGATTTACCTGTGTATGTTATAGCACTCCTCTTTCTGGTCGAATGATACTCTATTTTGTAGCTATTCCACATACTGTTTATCCATTCGTCAGCTGATGGACATTTAAGTGCATTATTTTTTGTCTTTTTTGAATACTACTTTAAATATTATGTATAAGATGTTTAGGAGTGTATGTTTTAATTTCTCTTATAACATTTTGCATAATATATTTTAAAGTTACATCTTGAATACATATTGTTTTTTTCCACAGCATTTTACATTTATTTAAAGTTGATACATTTTTTTCCAGCGTGTACTGAGCCATCAAGATGACACAGCTTTGTTAAAGGCATATATTGTTGAATGGCGAAAATTCTTCACACAATGTGACATATTACCAAAACCTTTTTGCCAACTAGAGGTTACTTTAATGGGTAAACAGAGCAGCAATAAAAAATCCAATATGGAAGATAGTATTGTTCGAAAGGTAAGTCTCTTTTCCCATTGTGTTCCTAACCCCCTTTCATTAGATTATCCTCTGACTTTGTGTTTAATTAAGGCTAACCAGCTGTCATCTTTCTAGCTGCTTCATGATGATTGTTTTAAAGTCAGTATGTGCTGTGCTGATTTTTATATTTTGCATGTTTCCGAACTGAAAGTCTGTGCCTAGTAATTAGTTTGATTTAATGAAAAAAAACTCAGCCCTGACTGTCTCTGTTTTCAACTCTATAAATTATTTTTCACAATTTTCATTCTCATTTGCCAGCTGTCTTCCTGCCTGTGAGACTCAGAAGCAGAGGTTCTGTAAGCCTGCACACTCACATGCTGCACTGCTCAGCAACTTTCTCAGCCTTAGCAAGAGCTTGAAAAAGGAAGAATGACATTTGAACTTTAAATTACTTACTGTTTAGTGTGTTTAGTGTGGTCTAGGCAATGTCACCCCATCCTATTTTTAACATTCACTTTACACAGAGATACCCTAAATTTAGCTATCTATGTTCTTCAGTGCTAGAAGAGCTGCAAATTGAGACATTTTTTATTTTTTGTGTATTGCCTGCATGTGTGTAAGTGCATCTGTGTCATGCAGTGCCTTCAGAGGTCAGAAGAGGGTGTCAAATTCCCTGAAACTGGAGTTACGGACATTTGTTAGCTGCCACGTTGTGCTGGGAATCTATCCCAGGTCCTCTGCAAGAGCAGCCAGTGCTCTTAACTTCTGAGCCATTTCTCTAGCACCCAAGACTTTTTTTTTTTTCTTTTTTTTTTTCTTTTTTTTTTTGTCTTTCTTTGAGATAGGGTCTCCCTGCAGACCCACCCAGCTGTCCTGGAACTTACTATGTAGACCAGGCTAGCCTTGAACTCACAGAGATCCTCCTAATTTTGCCTCCCAAGTGCTGGGATTTAAAGGCATGTGCCACCACACCCAGCGACATTTATTTTTTTTAACAGTCAAAAAACCTGTGTCAGGCTTGTGAGGAATTATATATAGAAAATACAAAGCACAGCCCCAGGCACATAGAGACTGTTACAGAATTGTTCACACTTGTTATTATTGCTGCTCTTACTGTTGTTAATATGTATCTGACAAAGTTATTTAGAGCACTAATCTGTATTCATTAAAGTGTGTATATTTTCTATAATCTTGATGGAAAACTGGTAGGAAAGTATATGCATATTCTTTTTATGTATATGTGTATATATTTGTTCTTTTTATTGAATTTTTGCAATTTTCATACAATATAGTTTGGTGGTATTTAGATCTCCTTCCCTAGCTGCACCTCCCTCCACTGCCCTCCACACATGTTAATGTACTCTCTTATATATAATATGGCCTATAGAGTTTGATTTGTGTCCCCAAATGTCCTTCAGTGAGGGTCCATCCACTGAGTACACCAAGATCAATACCTGTAAGGCACTTTCTTTCCCCCTCCCAAAAGCCATCAATTGCCAAAAGCTCCTTCGGCTGGGTTGGGATTCCTTACCCACTTCCCTTTGTCTGGGCTGGGATTTTTGTCTGATTTAAGCTTGCGTAGGACTTATATGCATATTCTTTTGGCTTTGGTCTTTTTGAGACAGGGTTGCTGTAGCCCCAGCTGACCTGGAGCTCTCTATGTAGACCAGGCTGGCCTTGAACTCAGAGATCTACCTGCCTTTTCCTCCCAAGTGCTGGGATTAAAGGCACATGCCACAACACCCAGCACATATTCTTTTTTTTTTTTTTTTTAATATTTTATTTTTATTTTACGTGTATGCGTGTATTGCCTGCATGTAGGTAAGTACACCTGTGTCATGCAATGCCCGCAGAGGACAGTAGAGGCTGTTGGATCGATCCCCTGGAACAGGAGTTACGGACAGTTGCTGCCTTGTGGGTGCTGGGATTCAAACCTGGGTCTTGTGCAAGAACAGCCAGTGTTCTTAACCGCTGAGCCATCTCTCTAGCTGAGCATATTCTTTTTTAAAGGTCTGTCAAACAGATTTTCTGTATTTTTGATGAGTCGGGACAAATATGCGTGAGTATTGTAAGCACCCAATATTTCTGAAATTCAGGTTGGAGCTACAGAAGCAGCAGGTTTTACATGCATCACCCACCATACTTAACTTTTCTCACAGTCACTGGATATTTGTTTTCTTAACTGTTTTACACGTAGGAAAGTAGATAAATAGCAGAACTGAGATCCAAACTCCATTCTGACACCGTTAACCTAAATACACTACCTCTCCAGAGCAGCCAGATAATGCAGACCTAGTAATAAGCCTTCCTTTTCTACTATTTGTTCTAAAACTTGTAATGTGGTAGTTGACATATTAATAATTGAAAATGATGCCCTATTTTCTTACTTCCCAGCTCATGCTTGACACATGGAATGAGTCCATTTTTTCAAATATAAAGAACAGGCTCCAGGATAGTGCCATGAAGCTGGTACACGCTGAAAGACTAGGAGAAGCTTTTGATTCTCAGCTGGTCATTGGAGTGAGAGAATCCTATGGTATGTTCTCAACATCTATGATCATCATTTCCTCTTGGGAATCCTAGGCTATCATAGTTCTACCAGACTCCTGTTTATTTGCATATAAAGTTACATCTGCATTTTTATTCTAACAGTACATAAATTGTATTGATTCTGCTTTAAAGAAACGGGCAAAATTCTTACTCATGTTGCCATGCTTCTTTTTTATGTGTATGAGTGTATTGCCTGCATGTATGTGAGTGCATCTGTGTCATGCAGTGCCGCGGAGGTCAGAAGAGGGCTTTGGATTCCCCTGAACTGGAGTTAAGGATGGTTTGTAGGCACCATGTGGGTGCTGGGAATCAAACCTGGGTCCTCTGCAAGAGTAGTCAGTGTTCTTAACCACTGAGCCATCTCTCCAGCCAAAACAATTTTTTCTTTATCATTAATTTCTTAGCTAAGAAATCTTGCTGGCATCCTAAACTAGAGGAAGGTAAATTGAAACCTATCAAGAATGATTTTTGTTGTTTTGAGGCAGAGTGTGTAGCCTTGGCTGGCCTAGAACTTGATATGTAGACCAGGCTGACCTGGAACTCAGAGATCTGCCTGTCTCTGTCTCCGTTGTTGGAATTCAAGGTGTGTGCCACCACATCCAGTGTAAATCAGAATCTGTATTTCATGAAAGATTTTTGTGTTTCTGCTTTCAGAAGTCAATTTTCTGTACTTCTGTCCTCTCAGCTCTAACAGTGCTGTCATCTGTACTTTGAGCACAGCCGTTGTTTCTGCTGACTTGCCACACTCTTCTTCCTCACCTTCTAACTTGTCCTCATCCTTCATTTCCTCATGGAGGCCGGGTTTTGTTATTGTTTTTGGTCTTTTTGAGACAGGGTCTCCCTGTAGCCCCAGCTGGCCTGGAACTTACTATGTAGAGGAGGCTGGCCTTGAACTCACAGAGATCCGCCTGCCTCTGCCTCCCGAGTGCTGGGACTACAGGCGTGCACCACCACGCCTGACTTTTAGTCATTTTTAACTGGTTCTTTTCATTGGTGCTGTGTTTCTTTAGTTATCATCTTTAGATTTTCATTAACATTATCTTTGAAATTTGTTCCTTTCGTTTCATCTTTCACAAGTCTAGACCTCTTTATGTTCTGCATCTAGACTTTTGAAATAATCTTTGCATAGTGATTTTTTTTTCAGTACTGACCTCATACACGCTAGGCCTGCATTCTACTCCTTTTTTAAAAAAACTCATGTTTTTGGCTGGGTGCACTGGTGCACGCCTTTAGTCCCAGCAAAGGCAGGTGGATCTCTTAAAATTCTATTTTTATTTTATGTGTATGAGTGTTATGCCTGTATGTGTGTAAGTGCACTCATGTCATGCAGTGCCAGGGGAGGACAAAATAGGGCATCAGAGTCCCTGTAACTGGAGTTAGGACAGTTATTAGCCACCATGTGGGTGCTACGATTCGAACCTGGGTCTTCTGCAAGAACAGCCAGTGCTATTAACCACTGAGCCATCTCTCCAGCCCCACTCTAACCATTTTTAAATTTTTTGGTTTATTTATATATATGGATGGATATGTGGGTACCATGGTGTAAATGTGGTCTGAAGACAATTTACAGAAGTTAATTCTTTTCCTTTCACCATGTGGGACCTAGAATTGGGTTTGGTAGCTGGTGACTTTACTGGCTGAGCCATTTCCCTGGCCCTCTATTTACCCTGTTGATGAGTACATCATGCTAAATTCAGGCCTCTCTATGTCAGATTTAAGGCTCTCCACAACTATTCCTAAATTTCCTTCTAACCTTACAGTTTGCTTAGACAACCTAGTCAGTACAGTTATGCTTTTGTGCTTCTGAGTATTGATTTCTCTTATTCTGAAGATCCAGTTAAAATGCCATCTGTTCTATGATTAGTTTCTTGATTATTGACTTAGAAAGGTGTCTCTTTTCTAAACTAAAAGAAGCCACGTGACTAATATTTGTTACATTACTCTTTATGCCATAATCTTTGTAAATTTCCTAATCTTATACATTAATGATACCTCAATATAATATTCATTTATTGTACTCAAAATACTAAAAGAATAATTAAGGTAAATTTTTATTTTCTGTTTTTCAGTTAACCTTTGTTCTAATCCTGAGGATAAACTTCAGATCTATAGGGACAATTTTGAGAAGGCATATTTGGATTCAACAGAGAGATTTTATAGAACACAGGCACCCTCATATTTACAGCAAAATGGTGTACAGAATTACATGAAATATGTAAGTCAGAATTTAGTGCATTTAATAATGTGAACTAATCTCTTGATAGTCTTAAAATGATTGCTATTTTGCTTCTGGACAGGCAGATGCTAAATTAAAAGAAGAAGAAAAACGAGCACTACGTTACTTAGAAACGAGACGAGAATGTAACTCTGTTGAAGCAGTAAGTAATTTTGCAGTTGTATACTTGTGGGATTATATGAAGCAGTGCAGCACAGAGATGGCAAATACACAACTCTTCTGCAACAATAGCCAATGCTCTTAACCAGTGCTCTGAGCCATTTCTCCAGCCCCCTTCCCACACTGAATATTTTTTAGACAGGTATGCCATGATTGCAGTTATTCCTTGTGGGCTGGGCAGTGTCTCAGTGGTTAAAGTGCTTGCTGTGCAAGTGTGACAATCTTAGTACTTGTGTTTCTTATGTCTTTTACCAGTATTACTAGTTGGCTTTGATACTCTTTCCTTAGTGAGAGAAAGCACATCTGCAAAAGCACCGTACTCTGAACACATTGTTTTTCAGATCTGGTATGCAAAATAACACCCATTTGCCATCCTTGGTCTAGATTTTACTATATTTAATGCACAGAATTTAATTTTTAGTCATTCTCTTACTGTGTTTTATGTGTAGCTAAAATATATCTTTTAATTTAATTTTTATTTTGTGTGTATGAGTTTATTGCCTGCATGTATGTAAGTGCACCCATGTCATGCAATGTCCTCAGATCAGAAGAGGGCGTCAGATTCCCCTGGAACTGGAGTTACAGGTGGTTGTTAGTTGCCTTTGTGGGTGCTGGGATTCAAATTCAGGTCTTCTGCAACAATAGCCAATGCTCTTAACCAGTGCTCTGAGCCATTTCTCCAGCCCCCTTCCCACACTGAATATTTTTTAGATAGGTATGCCATGATTGCAGTTATTCCTTGTGGGCTGGGCAGTGTCTCAGTGGTTAAAGTGCTTGCTGTGCAAGTGTGACAATCTTAGTTCCAACCCCTGAGACCTACATAAAACCAGATGTGGTAGTATGGGTCTTTATGGAAGCAGGAGAATCCCTAGATGTTCACAGGCCAGCTGGCCACGCGTATGAAGTATAGTTACAAACAGCAAAGATGCTCTGCCTCAAACAAGGTGGAAGATGAGGACTGACCCTCAGGGTTGTTGTCTGGCGTGTACGTGTAGGCCATGGCACATGTATACACACACACACACTCACTCTGCCTACATACATATGAAAAATAAATGAAGTTAAAAAGAAATTGTCCCCTGGGAAAATTAATCTGATGCATAGAGCTAGATATTGCAGAGAATCCAGCCAGTAGTGTTTCCAGGGCTTCAACTCAGGTGAATTATGCTGCTACAGAGCAGTGAAGGAAGGAGATGGGTTGAGTTAGGGAGATTTGCACTCCTTTAGAAGATTGACACTCCTGGTGGGGATGTGTTGTACAGTGCATTCATTCCGTTCTCCTGTTTTAGTTTATGGTTCGGTTGTATCATGTCCATATTAAACTTAACAGACATAAGAAAACAAGAATGAGAAATATAGAAACAAAGTTTTGCATAGACTTGTCTCTCAATTTTAAAACACAGAAAAAGCCTTGAAACAAAAGATGTGAACATAGTTAAAACTATGTGAAATTGTACATTATGGGAGACAGAAAAGGGCTGTTTTTACACTCTTATTTTGTTTTGATTTCCTGTTTTTTTAATCAACTGTTTTATTGAAATATTTACAGAAAAATGCACAAATCTTGTGTAGGTAAATTACCACAAAATGAAATTGCCCATGAAATTACCAGACCAGAAATTACCAACAACCAGCAAGATTGCTCAGTGAAAAAGATGCTTGCTGTGCAGACCTGGTGAACCCGAGTTCCATTCCCAGACCACGTAAAGATAAAAGGAGAGAATCAACTCCACAGAGTTGTCCTCTGGCCTCTTCCTGAACACCACAGCACACAGGCCCATACACAAACATCATGTATATATGTATACTCAAAATAATATGTAAAAATATTTTTTAAATTACTAACTAGGCCGGGCATGGCACTCAGGAGGCAGAGGCAGGCGGATCTTTGAGTTCAAGGCCAGCCCGGTGTACATAGTGAGTTCCAGGCCAGCTAGGGCTAAGGGAGACCCCATCTCAAAAAGACTTTAAAAAAATTTCTAACAATTCAGAAACTTTCCATTATGTTTGCTTCGAGATACCCTGCCGCCACCTTTTTCTTCAAAGGTATCACTCTTAAAAATTACATTTATTTATGTGATGTGAGGGACACATGACAACCCATGAAGGTCATAGGACATTTGTAGAACTCGGTTATATGTATGAGTGTTTTGCCTGCGTGTATGTAAGTGTACCACATGCATGCAGTGCCCATGGAGGCCAGAAGAAGGCATCAAATCTCTTGGAACTGGAGTTACAGATGGTTTTTAGCCACTATGTGGGTGCTGGGAACTAGACCTAGGTCCTCTGCAAAAGCAGCCAGTGCTCTTAATTATTGAGACATACCTCCCACCCACCATTGATTCTGTAACAACATAAAGTTAATTTTGCAGACATTACATATTTTTACTGCAAATTTTTGCTCAGAGCAGTATGTCCTAAAACTAGAGAGCTAATTATAGCATTAAGGATTTAAACCTTAATGTAAATATATTGCTGTATTAAAGAGCTGATTGAGCTAAGAAGGCCATTATATACATCCTGTTTATTAATATTTATTGCTTATTTTCTATCCAAAGAGAAAAGATGGGCTGAGGAAATAAAAAGACAAAAAA